ATATGTGTACATTTATTTCACTTTTATTCCTTATTCGCTCCTTTTTTATTTGTTTACTAATAAGCTTTTCACATTAGGTGGTCAGATTACTCTGTGCTCTCAAATTATGCAAGTCATTGATCAAGTCTAGCTTTTTAATAATCAGATTTGGTAATACACAAGTATTCTGTTTATTTCTCAGATATCTCTCTCATAATTTTGATTACACTCTGTTGCTTACAACTATACTTCTTTATCTTCCTCCTGAGCAATGATATCAAAGTCTCATTTCAATTAAAGAGTTTTTTAATTTCATTTCCTTAGAAATCTATAGTTATTTGAAAGATGAGATATCAAGCAGAGTTTAGACTTAACCGTTGCAATCTGTAAATGTCAGGCAGAAATGATCCTGGCCAAATTAAATTAGAATAGATAGAACTTTATTGATCCCTTGGTAAGATTGTTTCAGGAAAATTAAATAAATAAAATAAAAATAATTAACAGTGTAATGAAAAACTGATAAAAGCCTATATTTGAATAAATATTGTTTGCATGGTATTACATTTGAAAGATTTAAGATGTTTAACTTTGGAAGTTCATGATAGGGAATATTATATAACTGGAGTTAATTAGCTCATGTAACATGAAACTGAAAGTGGTGTGAATAGCATTTACATCGGCTGCTATGAAATCTTTAAGTCTGGTGTTTATTTTACTTGGTCCTGACTGTGATTTGGACTAGCCATTCGCTCAGCAGACCTGTCAGACATAAACAGTTTCTCCAAGCTGAGGCTGCTCAAAAAACTATCAACAAAACGTAAGACATCAGTCTTTATTTTAAGAGTGTCTAACTCAAATTTCATGACATTCCTCATTTCCTGGAATAAAGACAATATTTTTGATTTTTCTGAGAGAGGACTCACTAGGCAGGGCATATTTAAATAGAGCCATGTTAGAGGAAGTGTCTGATGTGTGTTTGCTTCCACGCTTGTCAACATGCACAAAAAAATTCTGCTTGTGTTTCTTCATGCAAATGTAATTTTCTTGATTATTCAACCACATTTTAATTTAAAACCACACAAGTTTTTTGTAAATGAGGCTCTGGTTGCAAGATCGATACAATCTTTTAACAATTCTGACCCCTCTGAAGTTTGGTCTTGTAGAAAGTATGTTGTGACAGTAACTGTACAGCTGTTATGGCGGAAGTGAAGCAGTGCATCTAGGTATTCATTACTTGTTTAATCAATATCTGCATACTGACTTATTTGACAATCTCACCTTTATTTTAAACATCCCCACACCAGAAAATGAAATAAATGCAGTCCAATTTTTCTTTCTGGTGTATTAAGAACAGAGGAAGTGAACAAGTTTACCATCAGACTTTTAGCTGTTGGGGCGTCAAGGCATCGTAAGGTTACCCTGTTCAGTTTTCTTTAGCTTTGCACCATCTCAGGATGCCCTCAATGCACCATGCCGATCTTCAGGATTACTGAGATCTAACAGATATTTACATCCTCTAGCTCTACCCTCACATAGCAGACAGGGCGGGCCAGATCTGAAGTCAAGCTGACACTGCTGGCATGGGAAGTGGTTTTTCAACCACATGCAGGCCAGGTCTGTCAATAATGGCACTGTTTTAAAATTGGCATGCCATAACTTGCCTGGTTGTGGTTTGGTTTATGTGGTGCTGGCCCATGGACCACCTCTGACCACCAAGTGTCATTATTCTTTCTGGCATCTGGCCTCTGGCTGTCATCCTTAGTTCTGGAAAAATGCCAGCAACACACCTGCAGTTAGCATGAGGTTTGTTACCAGAAAGGACAAGACTGCACTGTTGGGAGCAAATTAAAGTTAACAAATGTCCTCATTCATCAATGAGGACCTGACAACGTACAACAAAGACGTCGCCAAAAAGGTATGTTACCGTTACCTTTTTTAAGCTCTTCTTCCCCCCCCCCACCTTTATTATTTTAAAAACAAACTTTACAGACTTACAGAGATACTCACCTACAAAATAGATAGTTCTCTTATCTAATTGGTTACCTAACAAGACACACACAMACACACACACAAAATAAAAGAAAAATGGGGCACACATTAAAATGGATAAATTTAAAGACAAAGCACAGACCATAATCAAGTGTTGTCACAACAGAAACAGAATTATTTAACATACGTGGGTTAGGATACATTTTGTCTTTTAATCTTGGCAGTTATTTTCTCCAAAAATTTAGCAAACCTGGACTTCAAACTGTAAAATGTTCATCAAACTCAATGGAACACCAGAGGAAGCTAAAGTATTGATGAAGTATTGATGAGCATCGAAGAACTGGGCAAATACTAAGCTCTCAACAACCAAGCTTCACCTTACATTAAAGATCTTGTTTTTCTAAATTTTCCTAACAGAGCACTTCGCTCTCAGACTGCAGGTTTGCTTGTGGTCCCTAGAGTTTCTAAAAGTAGAAAGGGAGGCAGAGCTTTCAGTTATCCAGCTCCTCTCATATGGAACCAACTTCCAGTTTCTGTCCTTGAAGCTGACACTCTTAAGACCAGACTTTCCTTTCTGATAAATCCTATAGTTAGGGTTGGTCTCCTTAGTTCTGTTGCTATAGGTTGAGACTACTGGAGGACAAATTGATCACATTTCCTCACTCTGCTGTTTTCTTTAGGCTCTCTCCTCTACATGTTTGTTTTTGTAATTATTGCTGTCACTAACATGTTTGCTTGTGTTCTTTCTCCTCATAAAAACTACCATTGGACCAGTAATTCTGTGTTTGTCTGTGTCACTTTTTGTTTTCTCAAATCCAGCTGGTCGAAGCAGGCTGTCCATCCTGAGCTTGGTTCTGCTGGAGGTTTCTTCTTCTTTAAAAGAGAGTTWTTCCTTTTTGCTGTTGCTGTTGGTGAATATTAGACTAAATCAGCTTGCTTAGATAGATAACTTTGACCGATTTTCACTTTTTAATTATAGTATGTGAATGTTTCTGTGCAGTGCCCTGAGTTGACTTTTGCAATGAATTGTCATTAAATAAGCTGAATTGATATAAAAACTTTATGTAGAGACAGAGAAACTTCTTACTATCATAATGCTCAGTGTACAACAGTCAAGATRTTTTAACTTTATTAGCCATTGCCAACAAGAAGAAGACTGTCTGGTATCCACTGAGTAAGTAGCTTAAGCCTCATTTCTTTCAATAGAGTGTTAAGTCAAACACTCTTAACCTGTGCCAGYTGGGCTGTAAATAAGGAATGCTTGTTGTTTACCCATCTGATAAACACATATTGGTGTCATCCCCGGCTGGTCCACGGTTCACTCGTCCTCATTAGGGTTGCTTTTTCATGTTTTCTGAGATCATCTGATTAAAGAAGGTGAAAATATGTCCCACTGCTTTTAGCAATAACCCTGGAAGCTGGCGTGCTGCCAGCAGATCCAGATGCGAGCACCTATAAACCTTCATGTATACAGTACGTATAGAAATGTGTACACCAACATGAAAAAGACCCCAACAAAGGCCCAAAACATCCACTGCACCATGCTGGACTCTCAGTAAAAACATCTTTTTATGTTTAATGTCCAATCAACAGCTCCAGCTTGTTAAAGGAGACTTTAAAGAGCTCACGGTGAAGTAGCATACATGTTCATTGTCTTGTAAATGACACGCAGACATTACATAAGTTTTTAAAAGGAAGCAGCTGCAGGGTTTCTCTGCTATGCTTTGATTTATGATATAGAGAAGAGTAGGTAATAAGAAACAAAGGCAGTCATCCAACTGGTACACACCATTTTCACAGGGATTCTGTTTTATCGTGGCTGAGCTGGAATGAACAAAAAGCGTGTCTGCATGACTGCATGAGTGTGACACGAATGTGTTGGCACTAGGAGTTCTTCTGAGATATGTTGACTAAGCATCCTGTTGATTGGTGGCAGATTAAAGAGGCCTCTACTTCATCACAATAGGCATCGTCTACATGTGAACAGCCTTTTGTGATTTTGCAAAAGTTTTTTTAATGTTTCAGTTGTGCATACACACARAAGTGGCATGTTAGTGTCAGGTTCAGACATGGAATGYCCCAGGGCACAGGCAGATTTCAAATGTAACAAAAAATAAAGTTTATTTACAAATCAAAATGCTGACGAGGCAGCTGAAAAAACTCACTTGAAAGACGTGGCGAAAAAACTCTTGGAACATGGAACATGAAGAACGAGACAAGCTTTGCAGCACAATGATCAGACACTGACACAGAGACAAGACAGAGCTTAAATACACAGAGAACTAATGAGGGAACAGAAAACACCTGGGGAGAGACACAATGGTAATCAGCAGAGTGATGTGGGGCAGCTGAGCAGACATACACAGGGGAACATAGAAACACTAGGAAAAACCAAGGCATAAAATGACAAACCATGACAGTACCTCCCTCTTAACGATCGTCACCAGACGATCAACAAGGAGAGGCATGGGACAAGGGGAGACGTGACAAGACAGAACTCGAAGACAAAACATGAAAGTTCAAGGGGACGGCCAGGGAACCACCCCACACAAGGCACGAGTCCAGGGGGACGGCCAGGAAACCCTCCATGGCGAGGCCCCGCAGGAGCAGACGTTGAGCCCCAGGAGGAGACGTGGACACTGGACACTGACACAGAGACAAGACAGAGCTTAAATACACAGAGAACTAATGAGGGAACAGAAAACAGAGGTGCAGCGGATTACTAAACTGAGTGAATGGATTACTAAACTGTGCTCACGGTTTCTGTAATTCGTGCGCACGGATTACTGACATCTGGACGGTGGTTGTGTGAGCTGTCGTTCATCAGCTCAGAAAGTGCTTAAGGAGCATTTTTTTTGTTCACTAAAGTCAAAGTACAGCACAGAAAATGTTGGACTTTGAGTATGTTGTACAGTTTTTGCCCCTCTATCAGGCAGTTTTGGTACTGGGTCTCCTRAAGGCTGTTTCAGCTCTGATCGGATCATCACAAGAAGCCGCTAGGAGCCTTTCTGCCCTTGGTTACTGGATGTTTGTGGTTTCCCTGACAACAGGGAAGTTTTGCTAAAGTTAGCCAGCTGCCTTCTCAGGGTTATATCACAAAAGTAATGAATAGATTTTTGTTGAACTTTTAGGAAATGTTTATTACTCTTTCAAAAACGTTTATTACACCACAGAAACATCTGAATAAAGTTTGAAACATTTCAGAGTAAGAGCGGGGCCGCGGCTCCCATGATTGTCATTCTGCAGATGAAGCTCGCCACACGGGGACATTTCTATGCAGCAAGCCGCTCGGAGGTCTTCTCCAGCGTTTCTCAGATGTTTATTCTCTTTCACAACAGAAGGGGGGATGGGAGGGTGGAGGAGGCTAACCTCCATTTCAGGATTCATTTGCCTGGAAAATATGAAAATAAATAAATAACCACGTTGGATTTTGATGAAACTTTCAGGGACATTCTGTGGCTAAAAAGTGTGCTGATGAGAACACGACAGTGCCTTAAGTTTATATAACAACAGATCCACTGAATTTACATTGAGATGCGGCTTCATACGGTTGTGTTCTGAGGAAAGGATTCGAGCGACAACTAACCCCGAAACAACAAGTTGTCCCCGCACTCKCAGTATTCACTTCCTGTTTAGCCTTTCACAATAAAACCGGATGCAACAAAACAGATTGTACCACACACACCATGCGTCCAACCTGTCGACACAATCTGCGCGCACTGATTGCAGAAACTGAGCGCACAGATTAGTAATCTGTGCTCTCAGTTTAGTAATCTGTGCGCACGGATTGCAAAAACTGAGCGCACGGTTTAGTAATCCGTGCACATGGATTACTAATCTGTGCTCTCAGTTTAGCAATCCGTGTGCACGGATTTCCGGCGGCTGTTTTTCTTTTTTCACCACTGACCCCTGGCGGGCTCCGTAGAAATGCTTTAGACCAGTATTTCCCAAAGTTGGGGTCGGGACCCAAAGTGGGGTCCCAAAACATCAAGGTGGGGTCCTGAAAAGATTTTCTGAATTAATTACATTTTGCCTTAGTTGTTACAAAGGAGTGAGGTTAGTATATTTAAAATGGATAAATGTAGTATAAAAATATTGTTACTATGCCCGTGTTTTGTTGACCTGATATAAATGTTTATCAACCAAAAATAGTTGTGGGCACAGGTCTCTGCTACTGTTATTTTTGGGTCAAAAGCTGAAAACTTTGGGAACCAGTGCACTTTGGKYCCCAAAGTTGGGCATGGGACCCAATTATGGGTCATGAAGCACCTTGGATAATCTCCAGAAATCAATTTAAAGGGTGATGATGTAATATTTTCCCTATAATTATTACAAAAACACAAAATTAGTATAAATAATTATTTATATTTGTGTACAAGCTGTTTAGATTGTCAAAAAGCCTGTGTTTTTAGGGTTATTAACAAAGTTTGTGTACTCAGACCAGCAATATTTGGGGTCACAAATTTTTGCCATGGATATTTTGTGGGTCAGAAGACAAAAAGTTTGGGAACCACTGCTTTAGACAACTTGTGCTCATGTATAAAAAAAATCTGTCAAACACACCAGCATGTAAAGATGGAATAAAGTCAACTAGAAGCCTCATTTTGATGTAAACATACAGCATATTGCTAATGTGTTGAACAAACATGTAACATGAGTAATTTATTCACAACTTGTTTCTAGTATTTACAGGACTTATACAAGTGTAGGACAGCATTTGTTGTTTATGCGAAGCTTATGTGCAATGTGACTTGTGCCAAACTTATGCATAGATGGAACATATTGCAACAATCATGTGACATGAGATTGGCATAGTCTTCAGCGTATGTTAGTGTGAGGAGCAACATTTCAATATGTCAGAAGTTGTCTAAAACGATCTAGTGTGACAGGAGCACAATAGTGGAAACTGATTTTGTCTMATCTTAAAACATTTTTACTTCCTGGCTTTTAATACAGCACAAGAGTTAACATTTTTCGTTTCATTTAATTTTACCTTTTTTATATATCTCAGCAAATTTTTAATTGTTCTTACTTTTTGATCTCTTCTGTTTGGTATTATATTTTCATTAAGGTTTCCTTATTTTACCTGTCAGTGTTCAGTGATTATTGATTATTCTCCCTTCTGCTAGGCATATAGAGCCAGCTTAACGTATTTATGCCAAAGGCATTCCACAGTTCCATCTGGATACTTTATGTGTTTGTGTTGATTGAGGTGTTAACAAGCAGCTGTTGACAGTCTCTAAAAATTTACAGTTAGCTTTATGTTTCCACTCTAACTCATTGCGAATGTCAGTTTCACTCATCAATCTACATTTTTACACATTAATTAGGTTCTTTATAGATGCATAATTACAACTACAAGACCAGGCATACGCATGAAACATAAAATCACCCCGCACACACATCATTCAAAGCCTCTGTATAGGCATTCAAGCTATGAAACATTGGTACTCTCAAAGTTACAGAGGCACACACATCAATAGCCATGTTTCCATCCAATTTGAATTCGAATATTGAGCAAATTTTTAACATTTCGCAAAAAGGGAAAAAAGAAGAAATGCGAATCAGACATGTTTCCATGAAGAGAATCGACCAGGCTACACAAAGTGTATTTATGTCAGACGTGTGGCAGTAGTAAATAGGAAGTAGAAGTTGCAAACTCGCAGGGATACACATCTCAGGCCAATGGAGAAACGTTATCAGGAACGTGTTGCTACTATTGAGAAAGTTGTACTAATTCTTTCATATCAACTAGTTTTGGCGATGCTGCATGCTGTCTGGAGACAAAGAGAAAGAAATGCATTTCTATTCATGTTATGGAAATAACTCAGAAGATGCCAACAGCGGGAGGAGGGTTCAGCTGCAATCGCAGCTGCAGTGGCTCTGGTACTGGTGCTGCCCGGGACTGGACAGCCAGCAGAAACAGCTGGTCAACCATGTGAGGTGTTCACTGCATCAGAACTTATTCAGCAAACGTGTTTCCATTTCTCCTTTTGCACGTTAACTCTTTTTCAAAAAACCACCTCAAACGAGCGTATAAACCTTTTTGCGAATTAGAGGAACTTTGCCGAATCGTGTCATTTCCATTGACCTTTTCTAATGCGATCCTTCAAAATGCGCATTAAAAATCATTGATGGAAACACTGCTCATGAGGGTCTTGATGAAAATGAGAAAAATACGCAAAATATGGTTATCGTGAATGCTAATATAAAAGCGTGACAGAAACAGAAACTAAGACACGGAGGCAACATGTTAGGTGGCAAAACACAATCCACATTAGCACACGATAGAAGAAAACATGCACTCAGGTCYCAGCACAAAAAAGCAAGCAATAAAAGAGAACAAGAATAACTCAAATACAGACAAAAAAATAAAATAAAATACGAAAAAAACATGTAACGTACAAAAAACCTGTTGCAGGTTCATCATCAACAAGATGGCAGCAGAACTTAGTGTTAATCAAGTCATCTGCTGAAAATGTCAATTTTTTTCATATCACAATATAAATTGCAGTTAGAAAATATTGCAATGTCAGTTTTTTTTCCAAAATCATGCAGCCCTACTTGCACCTATGTAAAAAAGTAACTGTCCCTTAAAGGAATTGGTTGCGCCACCATTGGTGCCAAATATTGAAATCAAGCCTTTGCGGTAACTAGTGATGAATCTTTCATGTGACTGTGGAGGAATGTTGTGGTTATGATTTAGATCATCGTCCTGCTGTAGATTTGTTTCTTTTAATTCTGAGGTCAACAGTGTAAGAATACCATTTCTAAACATATAATGATATTTTCCCAAGGACAGCTACAATTTATTCTAAAACTGCTTCCTGATTAAACACAGCTGCTAAGCACAGTTCTAACTGTGTCTTTTACCAGTATTATAATGGCATCTTTTAGGCRTATGCAAAACCCCAAAATGACAATACTCTTTGAAGGCTGTGGACACCACYGTTTTGCAGTCATAAGCAAGCAATTTTAGTGTCATAAAACTGTTGCTTGAACTCTGTGGTGAAGAGCAGTTAAGCAGCAGCGGTAGAGAAATAATTTCAAACAAGAACAAGAAATTTAACGTCCATGCAGCAGCTGGCTCTACACTGTTCCAGTACTTGTGTTCAAATATTTCTCACAGTATTGACACTTTTCTTTTAYACAGACCTTACAGCCAATTAAAGCTAAAAGCCATTTTCAGTTTTGTTATTGGTACCATGAAGTGATTAGAGGGCTAAATGGATTCTGAAATCATACCTAGTTGCCCCATAGTAACACTTGATTTTAGTCTTTTAGCAGTRGGAGTGAAGCCAACTGAAGAGGAAAAAGTGAGTTTCTGAGCTGCCAAAACTTCTAATTCCTCTCTACTTCCCTTTAATGACTCCTTGCCTCCAGACAAACAGAAATCATCAAAACAGCAATGGCCCAGTGTTGATCTGTCTGTTTGGCTCAGAGTTTAAACCTTGATTACATTGTGGCATTTTTTTCCTTTTTTTTCCTTTTTTTTTTATATAAACTATATATCAGAATGCAGTTAGCTGGCTCAATTCCAGTGTCAGACTTGGTTTAGCATCATAATAAAAAAAAACATGTGAAATCAACAGGAGTAAAAGTCAAATTAAAAAGAYGTCAGTCGGCAGAAGATAAATTCAAATAAGGCAGAAAACCACTTGCTCTACTAACAAAGCCAAAAAAATAGAAAAGGTTACTGCAGAATTTACCTTGAAGAATATTACAAGTTCCAAGGACTCATTTTGTCGTTTATTCTTTTTACACCTTTCCCACCCCCCAGACTTGCTTTTCTTGCAATTTTTTTCAAATTCCTTATTCATGTTAAGTTATTTTGCAACATTAACTTTAGATTAACTCTACAAATGGCCTTGGCAAATTTAAGGAACAGAATACATCATATGAATCATGTTACAACCACAAATGTAATGTTGAGTAGGTCTCCTACTCTTTTTCCAACAAAGCATCTCCAACTTGTTAGAAAGAGTATAGTTAGGGTTTTCCCACAAAACAGGTTCACGTTCTAGACCAGGATTGGTGCTCAAATTAATTCTTAATTTAAAAGAAAGTATATAATTAGAAAACCTTTGTTTGTTTATTCAAACAGAGTGCTAGCATGGAGCTAATTTTTTCTAGTAAATGTTTGATTCCCCATGTTCTAGTTTGCAGAGACAGGAAAGGCACAAGTACAACCAAATACAAACTATGCTGAAAATGGCTAACGTGGCAGCAACAATAAACAAACAAAAAAAATAACTTTGAGGAGATGAGGGGRGAAACACAGAGGAGAACCAGACTTGGCGTAGGAACCCACAATGCCAGACTGAAGATGGAATGAAAACAGACACTATATCGGGGTGCCCAACCTTTTTTGCACCAAGAGCTACTTTTGAA